CTCCCTCCCACTCTCTCTAAAAATCAATGGAGAAAATATCCTCAGGTGAGGATTAACAAAAAATAAGTAAAGTGTCATTTGTGTTTCTAACAATTACTTGTCAGCTAGCAGGTTTGTCCACTTACTGGACTTCCCAAAGAACAAGCTGATGGTAGGGCTCAGCCTGTTGGTTCCAGGACCATAGGAATGCAAATAGAAGACATGAAAGAAATTGGGATCTTGGATTCTAAAATAGTGTTTTTATAATACATAGTCTTTAATCTTTAGCTTTTTACAGTGTGTGAATCATTTAGTGGAGTTATTTTCAGCAAAGAATTGATGTATATGATGTATATTTTGCAAACTAGTCTGGTATTGTTACTGGCAGAAATAGTTTCTTACAGTGTCGTGGGAAAGGAATTTCAGGGACACTCTCGAAGGAGGATTTGAGTGATAGTGGCAAGATTTATTAGAGCAAAAACAAAGGAAGGCTTAGGATAGAAGAGCCCAGATCACAGCAACAGGAATAAGCCTAGACTGGGCTGCCCTCTCTCAGGAAAGGAAGTTACAGAGGCAAAAAGAGAGTCCTTAAAGTCCTCTGCTTCCCTGGTTGCAAGTCTCGTGGGGACCCTTAGAGTTTAGGAGAAAAGAAAGCAAAAGTACAGTCCAAGAGAAAGAAGGGTGCACAGGGCACAGATGCCCCTGAAAAGGCTGTCGCACTTGACGGGAGGCTTCACTGGTGGGTCCAGCAAAAGAAACTGGTTGGCATTGCTGATGTGCCCCCAGGTACATCGTGCCCGATGCCTCATCCATGACCAGGTGGTTCAGCTCCGTCTTGCAATGGGAAAAGTTCAGCTTCCGGGGCTGCAGGCCTGCACTTGTGCCCACTGGCCCAGGAGGGTCAGGACCCAGAGTTGCAGTGCTATCACCTCCAGTGTCTGAGGCTCCAGTAGTCCAGCTCAGTCTCTGCTCCCGGCTGGCATTAAAATTCTTAGCTGTGTGACCTTGGGCAAGTTATTTAACTTCTCTGCGCCTCGTTTCGCTCACTGTATATCTGTCACCAAGGCTCAATGGCTCCCAGGCTGCACAGCTGCCCTGCCCACCCAGACGGGCCTTTGTTAAGCTTTTACTCTAATTCCTTGTGTTTCAGGAGGTGCAGGCTTTCTTTCAAACTATCCATCTCTTTCCTGGCTTTTCCTGGAGCTGTGCTAGTACCCTCCTACCATCCAATTCCTTTTTTGGATTTTCTGGGGTTTAGTGCCCTTATCCTACCCAGTCCTTTCCCAGGGTCATCTCCTCCCCCTTTATGGTCTCCATTTTGGCTCCTACTGTGCAAGCTTCATAGTTCTGCTTTATCGTTTGGCTTCTATTGCACATACACTAATAGGACTTCCCCTGTGCCATTTCCCCTACTCCCCAGTCAGATGGACTCCCCGGGGACTGTGAAGCTGCCTCTTCCTACATAATGAGGCTGGTTTCTTTGCTCCCTTCCTTTTGTTAATAACTAACTGTTAGAAACCCGCAGCACAGACCAGCTCATCTTTTAGCCAGACAAGGTTCTGAACTAATCTAGAGTAGACCATAAGCTCGGTGCAGACAATGCTTGTGGCATCTTATTGATTACTTGCTGTCACCCATGGAAGCCCCAGACTGGTATAAAACCAACATCTAAACACAGACTGTAAAAATAGATGTATCACCAATTTCTCTAATCTAGGTTTAAATCTTGACCTGTCACTCAACACATAGTGTAAAGGTGTCTTCAGCATGTGCCGAGTGCTATGTGTAGCTTACAGTACAATAAAAATCCTGAAATCCAGTTGCTGTTCTAAACTAGCTTTTGGTTTTGTTGAGAAGACTAGGCAGATATGACATAACTAGAAAATAGTGCAGTGTAGGATGTTGTCTAATTGTGCTAAAGGAATCAGGGATAGGAGAGATCCTGTTAATGAGGTAGTCAGAGAGGCTCCTAGACAAGTGTGAGATGAGCTAGGCTAAGCCTCCCTCTTGGATTGATCAGATTGGAAAAGAACAGAGGTTATCTAGTATTTGTCCGGACTGGACTATCAGGTGTTACTGAGTACTGGCATACCATGGTGGTATTGGGGGTGGGGAGGGTACAGTATGCAGGCAACAAGGGGTACTGAAAGGTTAACGTGGTAGCGTACAGGCAGGTTAGTCATCTCATTCAGTGATGAATGAAAATTGAATTTATTTAAGGAAAAGGAGGTGAGGTGGGGATATACAAAGGGAAGGGCTACACAGAGAAAAGGGGCCTTGGAGACAGGTTCAGGCGGTAAGCCCAGGACAAGCTGTCACTGCCCATTGCTTCCCTGGCTGCAAGGCTCATGGGGTCCTTGCTGGTCCCCACACCTCTCTTCCCCTGGCATTTCCTGCCGCCTTTTTTTTTCTTGTAGCACATTCTTTCTCCCCCCGCCCCCCATTTATCTTTATTGTTGAAAGCATTACTGATGTCTCCCTTTTTTCCCCCCATTAATATCCTCCTTCCCACTTTCTTCTCCTCCCCAAGTTTTCACCCCACTATTGTCTGTGTCCATGGGTTATGCACATATGCATATAAGTTCTTTTGTTAATCTCTTCCCTCCCCCCCACTTCCCTCTGAGAATCCTTAGTCTGTTCCATGCGTCCATGTTTCTGGATCTGTTTTGTTTGTGAGATTATTTTTGTTCATTAGATCCCACATATAAGTGAGATCATGTGATACTTGTCTTTCTCTGACTGGCTTATTGCACTTAGCGTAATATTCTCCAGGTCCCTCCATGCTGTTGCAAAGGGTAAGAGATCCTTCTTTTTTACAGCTGCATAGTATTCCTTTGTGTAAATGTACCACAGCTTTTTTATCTACCCATCTACTGATGAGCACTTGGGCTGTTTCCAGATCTTAGCTATTGTAAATAATGCTACTATGAACATAGGGGTGTATATATTCTTTCTGATTGGTGTTTCAGGCTTATTAGGATATATTCCTAGGAGTGGGATCACTGGGGCAGTTCCACTTTTAATTTTTTGAGGAAACTCCACACTGTTTTGCATAGTGGCTGCACCAGTCTGCATTCCCACCAGCAAGGTACTAGAGTTCCTTTTCTCCACATCCTCATCAGCACTTGTCATTCATTGATTTGTTGATGGTAGCCATTCTGACAGGTGAGTGATTCCTCATTGTTGTTTTTGTTTTTGTTTTTGTTTTTGGGTGTGCTGGTCCTTAGCTGGAAATGTTATCTCCCCTTCTATCTAAATCCTGCCTGCCCAATTATCCTCCTCCTTGTCCAGCCCCCGCCATCCCCCACCCCTCCCCACCACCCATGAAGGCAGGGAGCTCTGTCTCTCTACCCCCTTGCAATTCCTTATTGTCTTCTCATTGATTAAGTCAGTGATGGCGAACCTTTTGAGCTTGGCGTGTCAGCATTTTGAAAAACCCTAATTTAACTCTGGTGCCGTGTCACATATAGAAATTTTTTGATATTTGCAACCATAGTAAAACAAAGACTTATATTTTTGATATTTATTTTATATATTTAAATGCCATTTAACAAAGAAAAATCAACCAAAAAAATGAGTTCACGTGTCACCTCTGACACGCGTGTCATATGTTCGCCATCACTGGATTAAGTGCTCTCCCTTACTGCTCTGAAATTGGCTCACCTTAAGAACAGGCTGTTATTCTGTGAATTGAGTGGTGACAGGATAAAGCCTTTCAGAAAGAATTAGGCCCTAGATTCTGGAGCACTGACGGGGTGGCCCAGAGTCCAGAACAGGCCTGAACCCATGGGGCCCACTTGTATTTCCTGGCCAGGGTAAAGGGTTTCAGAGTGAGGGTGGGCTTGAGCCTGCACTTATTACTCACCCTCCAATAGATGGATAGAGTGAGTCTCTTTCATTCTTGTCATGTCAGTTAAATGATCATATTGTTTTATATATTGTTTCATTTTCTTTTGGGGGTATGCATTGAACATTCCCAACTACATGTGTGATCAGCTCAGTAAAAACATAACATACTGTCTTTGTATTTAATATCTTCTCCCATAGCTTTTTAAAATCATTTTCCCCCAAAATACACTTTTTTAAAAAAAGCAAGTTATAACCAATCTGTTTGGAGGCTACTATAATACCATGACAAACCTAATCTGAAATCGTTAAACTCTAAACTGATGAACAAAAACAGATCCAGAGACAGAGAAGCATCGATCAGACCGTCAAACCTCAGAGGGAAGGTAGGGGAGGGTGGGGGAAAGGGGAGAGATCAACCAAAGGACTTGTATGCATGCATATAGCCTAACCAATGGACACAGACACCAGGGGGGTGAGGGCATGAGTTGGGGGGGGAGGGGCAATAGGGAGATAATGATACATATATACTACCTTAATCAATAAAGAGAGAGAAAAAAAGCTGGAAAAAAAAACAACTGTTAGACTCTACAAGTCCCTCAGGAGACTGGAAATAGATAATGAAGGCTAAATCCCTCTTTCCATGCCTTCCTGTTCTCTCTAAGAATAAAGAAGATTTTATTTCCATGGGATCTAAATGGAGAAATAATAGTCATTTTTCTGCATTCAGAAATGGAGGCCATAACCTATACTTCAGCCAGCAGTTTTCAATTTCTTAGCAGTGACAATTTAAGTAAATTTCATTTGAGTTGTGGAGCTCTAACTTTGTTATGATTGACAATATAAAATTAGCCTTTTCTGCTGTTGAGATTATCTAGCATTCCTATCAGTCAGGTGGAATGTGGAATGACATTGCACAGCTGTGGATTTAAAGTCTTCAAAGGGTTAAAAGTTACTTCCTCTGATGGATTTAAAACTGCCACGTACACACAAACAAGTTTTTCAAACTGCCCTGTTTTACATCTTTGTTGAGAGACCGTCTAGTTGCTGCATTTTTATGTCTAGATTATATTACAGATATATTTCAATAAACCATGAAGAACCACCACAGATTCTAGAAGCTGGCCGTCTGTGCTTAAATAAACATCTCATGCAGCACCTGTCTTACTTTATAGGCTCTATAATCACAGTGACATTCCAAAAGAAGACCTTGAAGACTTCGAAGCAGCTGTCCTTCCCCAGCTTCTGAGACTCTCCCCAGGGGGTGGCAGCGATGGAAAGCAAGTCAGGTATTACTGTCATGAAACTACTATGGCTGGGATGGGGTGGGGTGGCCGTTCAGGTTCCCGATGCTTCCAAGAAAACAGTCGCAGAGTTGCAAAACACTAGTCCACACTGTCAGCACAGGGTACACACTTGTAGTCTTCGATTTAACTCTTATGAACATCACCATCTGCTTCTTTGTAAATGTATTTGTTTCTAACTGCTAACTGGATATACCCATTCAATCCCTGCTTATCGCAACGTTTTAAGGGCTTAGTTGGCGGGAGAGAACAGGTATAGCCTTTGTTGGGTATGTTATGTTAGCATACCTTAAAGAGCAATCCAACATATAACCCACTGTAACTACCACCTAAAGCAGTGGTTCTCAACCTTCTGGCCCTTTAAAAGAGTTCCTTATGTTATGACCCCCAACCATAAAATTATTTTCGTTGCTACTTCATGACTGTAATTTTGCTACTGTTATGAATCGTAATGTAAATATTTGATATGCAGGATGGTCTTAGGCAACCCCTGTGAAAGGGTCGTTCGACCGCCAAAGGGGTCGCGACCCACAGGTTGAGAACCGCTGACCTAAAGGGATGTCCTTGGCATGTCCAAACCCCCGATGAGTTCCTAAATTTCCAAGGTCATGCTAGTGATACAGGCTCCCAATCTAGAAGATACAGATCTACAATCTGCAAGTATAGTACCTACACCAGCATCAATAAAACCTGGGAACAGAAACATAGCTTCTCAGGCCCTACCCAGGGTCCTCTGAATAAGGAATCTGGGGTGGTGCCCAGCCATCTGGGTTTCAGTGAGCGCTACGGGAACTCTAATCCCTCAAGTTTGAGATCTACCACTCATAGTCTGTGTCTTAAATGGCCATAAAGCTGGGACGAGAGAGAGAAGTTTGTCAACAGGGTAGTTGGCAGAGTCATGATTCTTGTGCATCCTAAGACAATCAGAATTCTGTTCCATACCCTCTGCCCACCTTTTACGCTATCTGGGTTTCCTTCCATGTCCTCAGAAGCTTTGTGGCATCTGGGCTACTTATTGAGTTCATATAAATGTGTAATATGTGTAATGGCACCTGGTAGGTGCCTAATTCATGTTGCATGAATGTTACCTGTGTCCTAGCCCTGATTTTGATTTTGAGGACTTACTATATTTTCCCTTATTAAATCACATTCTCACCGTTTACTAGTAAAGAACAAATTGTTACTCGAGCATGGTCAATAGATGTCTGTCAAAGCCCATCTGAAAGGCTGAGAGAGTACACGGGGCTTTAGGTCTAGTTGTCTTAGATCCAATGCCATTTTCTCTTCCTTTAATGTGCCAGTAGGCTGTTTCCTGTTAATGATATGAATGGGAAGGGTAACATGATTTTCTTTAGACTATAATTCAGCATAAGTGCAGTGTGTGCTGGATCCCATCAAGGAGTAAGGAGAAGTCAGATAATGGACTCTGAAAGGACCTTGTCACGAAAAACCTTGGCCGATCATATGGTTCTGTTTCACAGACCACAGGGTGAGGTCTGTAAGTCCTGAATGTGTTTACAGGACCTTCTGCATCTGTACTAGCATTCTCCCAATATGGAAAGTCCTGGAAATGGCCTTCCTGACCAGTACTTTTCAATCTAAAGCAGTAAAGGGACATGTAAGAAAATTCTCTTTCATGGTTTTTATCATGTGAATAAAAGTACTCCTTTACAAGGTGGTACAAGAAGCTGCTGGGAGGAGTATCTGCACTCTGGGTGTGTGTTGTAAGGCTCTCTCACCAGGCCGCTGTTTCTTTCTCTCTGCTTTTCATGTCTGTTGATATACTACTTTGCATAAACCATAATCATGATATGTGGCATAGAAAGCATATATGCATTTATAATTCCCTGTACAAACTGACTTGTTAGACTAAATGATTCATTGTGTGACTCTCTTAACCTGGGCTACCAAACTGTGATTGTGGGTGATAAGATATGATATTTACATCTACTAGACTAACATTTGCTATAGTTTCTCAACATATATAATAGAGCATTGCTTTCCATTATGAAAGGTTGCATTTTATATGACTGTTGATCTACAGTTACATATAAATCAGCCTTCCGTAAGAAATGATCCTTGTTTATGACCAACACAAATTTCAAAATTAATATCTGGAGTCTTCAAGACAGTTTCTATACCACAATCATTTTTAAAGCCAGATAAAGAAGTCAGGAATGGTTACTATTGTCAGTGTTTTGTTCTGTTACAAATAGAATTGTCCTGTGTGTGACTGAGGATGCTGATTAATGCACATGGATTATCACTGGTTTACTCTCTAGCCTTGGATAAAGTGCCAAGTGTTTATATGACCTTTGAGATGAGCAATTGTGTCTTTAAATATAGATTCTTTCTAACAAGTGTTCATCATGGCATCAGGTTCTCCCGTGGACTTCTTCATCTAAGCACCCTCTGGGCTCCTCCACCCCCCACAGCTATTGCTGGGCCATTCCCCTAAGTGAAATATTCCCGTCTGCTTTGCAATCTCCCCTGGACTGAAGCAGCTCACTGGTCAATTTTATAAGCCAGTCCAGAAACACAGATTTGGAAAGAGTGATCTACTTTTGTTCCTTAATTGTTAATGACTCTTCAGTTACGGAATTCTAAGCTGGGCGGAGTGGGAAGGCTCTGACAGGTCATGAATTCATAAAAGCCTGTAGCCGTGCTTGATGTGGCAGCAGCCCTGCTGGTTTCCCTGGCCAAACCATGGCAGTCGATAGCTGTCTCTTTCCTTTATAAAATGGGACATCTGCCCCAGAGCATCTGCTAAAAGAGAGTATGAAGAATGAATTCCTGCTCACAAAATGAAGCAACTTAAAACAAAAAATTCCTATCATCGTTGTTGGTTTTTCTTATATCAAGGACTAAGTGTTCAAAGATCTTCATATAAAAGGTTTACTCTTATTAGGTAGAAGACCAAGTCATTATTTTAGACAATGATGAATTATTAAAATATTATTCATGTCATTTGGGGTAATTGATAAAAAATTTATTTGCCTTCTGGAAAAAAATTTAACATTAAAATAATTACTTAATAAGTAGTTTTATATCAAAACCCTAATGAGACTAACCTTTTTTTTTTTTCCAGGTGCAACTAATTGTCTCTGTTAGTGGCTACTTTCAGATACAATCGCCCAATTGTGCTCCCAAATTCATGATGAAAAATTGAGTCATCTTTATATTGTTTGGAGTATAGCATGTACTGCTTATGTTCAGAAAAAAAATTCGGGGGTATTTATGACTTTGTATGCATTTAAAACTTCCATCAAATTACCAATCTTTTGTAAACCAGTTGGAAATTCTGGTACACTTTGTTTAAATTGCAGTTTTCTGATCAGAACCCATTCCAAGCATATGAAGTTAATTGTAGATTATTTAAAGGCTAGTCTTTTAATTAGAGGAGTATATAACTTAGGTGACATCAAACTTTGTTTTTCTGTGAGGCATTGGTGTTTATAAACTTTCCAATGTAAAATACACAAAAGCGAAAAAATTCCTTTAAGTCCTTTGTACCACTTTGCAGATTTTCTGGTTTGGTGTGTTTATGTAGAACCATGGGCAAGACTCCATGCAAGGACAGCCATGGCTCTTACACTCCTTGCCCAGTCTGTCCTGAAATAAATCTGCAAGAACGCCTGGTTTTGTGCTTTAAGCGTTGGCGTCACTGTTCAGAAGTCACAAATTCTAGATGCTGTACCTCCTTCAATAGCTTATTTGCTATTTGCCTCCATGCAAGTCATTAATGGGTTTTATCTTTTTGTGAAATCTGGGTAATAATCATAGGAAACCTTAACTGTTTTTTTCATGCCAGGACCCAAATAATGGTTACACTTGGCAGGGTTATTAGTAACCAGAGTCTTGCCTTGGCTTTGCCTCTGCAAAAACCATGTGCACAGTCACCAGACAGGCTGGTCTCTGATAAGTAATCCATCCCTACTAATTTAACTGATTTAATTCATTTTAATTCAACTTGTTTTCAAGTTTAATTTAACCTACCTAAACATGCTTTCTGGACAGAAACACAGTTGATTTATTCATTATGAGAAATATACCAGCTGAATGGACTAAAATTTGCTGGTGGCCTGTGAGTGCATTTTTCCAGTAGGAAAATCTGTTGTGAAACAAAATAAAGATGCAAATATAAATTTATTTACATGGAATCAGAACAAAGGAATTGGGTAGCATTATGACATCGGTGACGTCTGGTCAGAACCAAGAGAGGCAAGTTGCTGAAGGGGCTGCTACTAAACCAGCCAGAAACCTTAGAATCATTCTGGGAAGTTTTTAAATAAGTTCATGGATTCCAATGATACATGACACTTTATTCAAGTCTTGGGCTAAATGAAGGGTTAGTAGGTCAGGCAAAGGTTGTCACAATTAAGAACCTTCTTTAATATGTTGTTTGCCCATTAGGTATGATGTTGGCTGTAGGTTTGCCATATATGGCCTTTACATGTTGAGATATACTCCCTCTATTCCCACTTTGCTGAGAGTTTTTATCAAAAATGGGTGTTGGATTTTGTCAAATACTTTTTCTGCGTCTGTTGATATGATCGTGTGATTTTTGTCTTTCAATCTTTTTATGTCATATATCACATTTATTGATTTGCAAATACTGTACTAGTTTTGCATCCCTGGAATAAATCCCACTTGGTCATGGTGTATGACATTTTAAATATACTTGCTAATATTTTGTTGGGGATTTTAGCATCTATGTTCATCAGGGATATTGGCCTGTAATTCTCTTTCTTTGTAGTGTCTTTATCTGGTTTTGGAATTAGGGTAATGCTGGCCTCATAAAAAAAGAGCTTGGAAGTGTTCCTTCCTCTTGGATTTTTTTGAATAGTTTGAAGAATATAGGTGTTAGTTCTTTGAATGTTTGGTAAAACTCCCCTATGAAGCCATCTGGACCTGAGCTTTTGTTTGCTGGGAATTTTTTTTATTATTATTATTGCTTCCATTTCATCAGTTGTTATTGGCCTATTCAGGTTTTCTGATTCTTCCTGATTCAGTTTTTGGAGATTATATTTTTCTAGGAATTTTTCCATTTCATCCACATTGTCCAGCTTGTTGTCAATGGTTACTCCTCCACTTTAATTTCTGATTTTATTTATCTGGGTCCTATCTGTTTCTTGATGAGTCTGGCTAACGGTTCATCAATTTTCTTTATCCTTTCAAAGTACCAGCTCTTGGTTTCATTGATTTTTTTGTACTTTTTATTATACTTCCTCAGGCAGCACATGTCTGGTCTTCCCATTGTTAGTGTTGCTAAGACTAATCCATGGATTCGAGCATTGGCAGACGATGCTCTAATATAAAGTTTCCTATTATGCAGTCACAAAATTATGATGATTTCCTACATGCATTGATAAATTTGGGCTTTCAAAATGGTGGTTTTTCTAATTCATTCATTCTTCTGCATTTATTAGTTGGAAGAACTTTTCCCATCAACTACTTGGTAACTCTGAAATGTACTTTTTTACCACAAAAACAGGATAAATGTGTGATTCTATCCCTTTACTTACAATTTTCAGAATAACAAATTGTTGCCCTAGCAGCATCCAAAGGTTATTTTGTTTATATTTTTTATTGTGATAAAACACACATAAAAGTTAGTAGCTTAACCATTTTTAAGTATACAATTCAGTAGTGTTAAGTACATTCATATTCTTGTGCAACCAATCTCTGGAACTTTTTAAAAAAATACTTTTATTGATTTCAGAGAGAGAGGGAGAGAGAGATAGAAACATCAATGATGGGAGGGAATCATTGATTGGCTGCCTCCCGCACACCCCCCACTGGGGATCAAACCCGAAACTCAGGCATGTGCCCCTCTCTGGAATCGAACCCGGGATCCCTCAGTCCGCAGGCCAATGCTCCATCCACTGAGCAAAACCAACCAGGGCAGGAACTTTTTAATTTTACAAAACTGAAACTCTATCTATACCATTAAACAACTCTCCATTTCTCCCTCCTCCAGTCCCTGGCAATTTCCATCCTCCTTTCTCTTTCTATGAATTTGACTAGCCTATGTGAGTGGAATCATACAGTATTTGTCTTTTTATCGCCAGCTTATTTCAATTAGCATAATGTCCTTAAGATTTATCCCTATTGTAGCATGTGGCAAGATTTCTTTCCTTTTTTAAGGCTAAATCCATTTTAATTTCATTTTTATTTATTGTTTAAAAGAAGTCATGGCTTTCTATATACTAGTTATGTCAGTCCATTGTCACCATTACTCTTTTTGGTGTCAAATTGTGCCATCTTTGGCCAGTGGGATCCCCTCTCTAAGATTGCTCCTGAGGCTTTTGACATGACTCAGTAGCCTTTGATAGCTTCCTTCCTTTCTGGTATGATAAGGTGTTCCAGGCTCTCTTGTACATTTCCTGCCCCAGAACTGGAATAGGGAGTTTTTCTAAGGGGCCCTGGTTCCTTTCAGCATCCAAATACCATAGTATATATGCAAGGGTGGCTTACTTTTTAACTCTTTCCTAATGCTACCTTAATATTTTTAGTTATAAGTAGACCATAGTAAGAGTATAACCAAGGTAAACTATTGTTAAGATAAAAATGTGACCTATTTCTTTTAATGACATTTAAGAGGAGCATGGCTATGTATGCAGTGATTTGAAGCCATGACTGCACGTTAGAGCACTGTATATGCCTTAAAAAATTGTTATGGCCGGGTCACACCCCAGACCTATTTTCCTAGACTCTGTAGCGGGTGGCACCAGGTAGTTACATTTCCCAGATTTTCCCAGATGGTTCCACTGCACAGCCAAAGTTGAGATTGCTTGTCTAACAATCAAATGATAACCAGAATAAAATAAAAAAATTTTAAATGTACCTGGACTCTAAAAATGTCCTTAGTCCAGAATAAATTAGGTTCCAGGCTTTTCTGGATTACCTTCTACTAACTTGATTATGGGGCCTTTTCAAATCAAATGTGGAATCTCATAAGTAACCCAAACTTACAAATCTCTAATGTTTCTCCTGTTTCTGTTTTATAGATCTGACCAAGCACCGGCCTCAGGCTTATTAGGGGCACCATTGAGTCAGGGTGTTGCCACCTTGAAAGAACATTATAATTCTGTCGAAGAAGAGATAGCTAAACTGTCTGAAGTTTTCCCAGTCAACAATGTGGACCAGAGGACAAAGGTTAGTCATTTTTTTTTAAGTTTCAAGATATACAAGGTAATGATTTGAGGAAATAGTTACATTATTAACATATTTGAGAAAATAACTAATAAATGAGGTTTTGTGGTTGGTTTTAACTTTCTGATCTCAGGCCTTTTGCATATTGTTTGTGTAGGAATCTCACCTCCTTACATAAAGTTAATTCGGGTCCTAGATGTAAGATCTAATTAAACACATCTACCACAACATTTTCCAAGGAGCTTAGAAGCATCTTGTAGCATTCTGGTTTTCTTTCTTCACTCTGTACTTTCAAAACACTGTATGGCTGGTCATTCATGTCAATTCAGCAATTATGTATCAATCCATTTCTGTACACAGGCACCATCCCAGATCCATTGGAGGGAAAGACATCAATAAAATGTGGCCCCATTCTGGGGAATGGCATAGTGGGATGCATATAATAAGAAAGTGGCAAAAAATGTGGGCCTTCAGAAAAGGGAGCCAACCTATCTGGAGCAGCAATGAGGACAGACTTTACAATGGAAGAAACGGGGGCAAGAAGGAGGCAACCCTTAAAAGACTGACAAGATTTGACAGGCTATGAGTATAGGGTGAGATGAGAGGGAAGGACTGTTATGAGCCAGAGAACAGACCAGAAAAGCCAACATATATTCAGGAAATGGAGCAGGGTCATCTTCTGTGGCCAAAGTGTGGGCACCAGGCTGGGGATAGTGGGTGAGAAAGTCCAAGGTGTTCCCTGGCCCAGTTGTGCAGGGTCCAGGCCAGGTGAGGGAGCTTATGTTTAGTTGAATAGATGTTGGAAAGCCATGGGAGCTTTCTGAGCAGGGCTATAATAAGATTCTGCAGTGCTTTGGGGAATGTCACCTGCTTGGATTAGGACTGAGACCAGGAGGAGGGAACCCTGTAGGAGTTCAGACAAGACAAGGAGGGGTCAGACTTAGGAGCTGGTAATGAGGGAGAGAGAGAGAGAGAGAGAGAGAGAGAGAGAGAGAGAAACTGGGGGAGAAAGGTCCCTCCCATGGGAAGGAAGCACAAAGGGAATGCAAAGCCCAGATGTAGAGCATTCCCATTGTAGTCTGTCATTTCCTAGAAAAGCCATAGTCAAAGAGATGGTCTTTTTTCTCCTAAATTTAATATGAATTTGTCTTATTGCAAATCATTGTTTCTCCTCCATATGCATAATATAGGGTATTCTGTCTTTGATCCTTTTTAAGTTGTTATTTTTATCGTGCACATAGTTCAAGGACTCTACATGTGCCCCTCCTGGAGCCTTGCCACCTCTGTCTCAGGGTTGTGCACCTGCGTTGCTGTATGTCCAGAGCCTCTGCCATCTCCCCTCAAGTCTTCCAGGAACTTTCAGATCTCAAGTCCCTGCCCTTTCCTTGCCTCTTAAATTACAAGAGAGTAGAAGGGCCCTGGCCAGGTGACTCTGTTGGTTGGAGCATCATCCCATGCAACAGATTCGATTCCCAGTCAGGCACATACATAGGTTCCGGGTTCAATATCCGGTGGGGGCACGTACAGGAAGCAGTCTATCGATGTTTCTTTCTCACATCGATGTTTCTCTTCCCTTCTTTCCCTCCCTCCTCTCCCGTCCTCTCTTTCTAAAAATCAATAGAAGGCATGTCCTCGGGTGAGGATTTAAAAAAGAGACACAGAGTAGGAGAGAGAGTAAAAGGACTTTTTAAAAGTATATCAAACATATATACATAGGATGATACAATGTACCTACCAACCCAAATTCACATGTGTTATTACCATCATACTGTTTCAGACCTCATCCTCATCTTCCTTCTCTCCCCCATCTTCTTACTTCTCTCTCTCCTCCCGTTTTCTCTCTCTTTCTCTCTCTCTCTCCCCCCACCTTTTCCACCTCCCTTCTCTTTCTTCTCCAGCTCTTTCTTTTATCTCTCCTCTCCTTTCTCCTCCTCTCCCTTCTCGAGCAACCTTCCACTCATCTTTCTTTCTTCTGTAGTAAATTATTACAGCTACAGATAGAGCCCCCATATCCATCTCAAGGATATGATGCTCCTTTTAAAAAATAACCTGTGTATATCCTTTTTGAAAACATTTTCATTTTCTGCATGATGTGTGAATCAGTGAATAACAGTTTTGTTTTGGCTGAGGTATGATACCATTTGTGTGAATGTTCTTTTAGAAAGAATAATGTTTTTAGGAATAACAGAACCTATGTTTTCTAAATCCATTCCATAATTGTTGATAAATGTAGATCTTAAGAAGGATTTTGTTTTCAAATTTCATTGCCCATTTCATTTAGTACTATTCTATATAATAAAAGGCTAATATGCAAATTGTCCCCTCGGTGGGAGTTCAACCGACCGCAAGTTCGACCAGAGGGCGGGTCCAGCCAGCCAACCACTGCCCGTGCACGAATTTATACACTGGACCTCTAGTTCTGTAATAAAATAGTTTATAACAAGTACTGCTACTGGAAAGGAGACCTGGCCCTTGGTGGGTCTGCCTAGGGCTCGCTTGTAGTGTGTGGGTTCTTGACTTCATGCAGGAAAAATTTCGCAACACAAATCCAGATGACTATGAGGGAACATTTATTGAAGCTGGGGACATAAAACAAGAAAGGACTTAGCGTAGAAGCAGCAGGAGAGCCTAGGCTGGGCTGCCTTAGCTCTCTGGGAAATCAGAGAAAAGGAGGCCTTGGGTACAAGTTTAGGGATTTAGCCTGGGATGAGCTGCTCATTTGCTCCCCTGGTTGCAAGCCTCATGGGGTCCTTTGGAGTTTAGAAGATGCATGCCTGTGGGGGGAGAAGCGGGGGAAGAAGAGAGGATAGGGAATGGCGGGGGCTGCTCCACAGAGGGAGAGCGAGTGCTGGGCCCTTTGTCTTGAGGCTTTATCTCTTTCTTGAAGGTGGGACTCTTAAGGGAGGTCTCAGGGGATGGTTTCAGCAGAATATTCGTCAGTTTTCTAGCTGTGCTTCTCCAGGCCTTGGTCTCTACTGATTGGTCAGTATCAGGGCAGGGGGTTGTCAGTCATTGCAGCTGGTCCTGGTGCTGCCCACCTGGTTTTGCTGCTTTTCTGGGTCTGGAGCTGAAATACAACTGAGGCCTAGATGTTATTTCTAAGGAAGTGACCTTCTGTATCTGCTGTAAATTGCTTTGTTCGTTTTTTCATCTATCTGACCCAGTTTCCCTATTCCACCTGTCCTAGCTTACTAGCCTGTCTCATACATCACATCAGCTGTGTCAAGGGTGAAATAAGTATTGGTTGAATGCTCTTTGTTATCTAAACTTTTTTTAAAGGGTGTTGTTTATATTAGAAAACATATTCCAAGTTCTAGACAGCCGATCCACTTACAATTTCAAAATAATAACTCCATTATTAATGAGAGGAGGCTGCCCAGTTAAAAATTCGGGAATCAAATGATATTCTGCTTTGTTCCTTTAAATCATCATGATCTCATCTTAGTGGCAATCATAAAATTACCAATAAATTAATGACAACATCTGTGCTTAAAGATGGAAGTAAAGCAGCAGTTTCACAAATGGTTAGGTTCTGAATGAAGAAATGCACAGCAGCAATGAACATTGTTACCAAAATTATATGGGCAGGGCAAGCATTAGGAACTTTAGGACTAAAATGCTTTTGTGGGTTCTAGGACTGTTTTAGTTTATGCAACATCCATTTACAATTAGCAAAATCAAGTATCTCGGAGTTGTTATCCTGCGTTGAAACAATATATACATTTAGTAAATAATATGGGTTAAATATTTCTCTATAGATAAAATTCTTAAAGATTTTCAAAATTTAAGAAAGCTTTCCTGGTAATTACTTGGTTAAGTAAGAGTCTAATGAAGCTCAGAAATATTTACTTTGATCTCTTGGGTAAATGGCTAATTAAACAGCACAAGTAAATGATGTTTACCTGTGGGTCCCCTTGCTGTCAGCGGGAGTCAGTCCATCTCTTGAGTAAATACATCATTAAGCTCTGAAACTGGGATTATGTCCGCTCAAGACTCGATAAGGTCCACAGCACCCGCATAATCTATTAGGCAATTACATTATTGAGCTGCATACTTTAAATCAGAAAAATTTGTAATTACTTTATATGAAAAAAAAATGAGTTGGGTGCTTCATTAAAATACAAAGAGCCTTAATACTCCTTTTATTTTAAATGATGTTTGTTTCCACCTGGGAAAACTCCAAACAAAGCAGAGTGATCTGCTGGTGTCACTGGTAGAATAGGTTGGTCCTTTTGCCCACACACACACATCAATCAGACATGCGACTGGTCACAGGAATCCCCTCACCTCTCCCTAAATGATGGGCTGGTTTCTTGTTCTCTCTTGAATATTCATCTGAACACTTTCCCTTGCTTTTAATTGCTACATAGATAAAATCCCTTTCCTATAACTTAGATACAACTTAAGCGATGATGCTTGTCTTTCTCTATAAACACTGAAAGTTTAGCTTCAGGTGTGCAAGAGGAAGGTTCTTGAGGAAGGGTCAGTTAAATTTGTGTGATGTGGGAAAATGTCATCAGCTGTCCACATCTATGGCTTTTCATTCTCTTGCTTTTCTGTATCTGCATTAATAGCACTGATTTACATACAGAAGGGAATTCAGTTTTATTAAATGCTTTCACATTCACTTTCTCTTTGTGTTGTCAACATTAGAAACATTCAAACCTATAGAGAATTTTTATGTGTTTATTTGAGCCACACTGACCACAATTGCCTGGAAGCAAAACCTCAGTGGATTGAGAAAATGTTCCAGACACCGCTTATTTTATACATCACTTTAAGCACTTATTTTATACATCAGAATTAAAGGGGAAGAATTAAGGGTCTACATGAAATCCATTGGTGATAGATTAGGAGGCAGTAGAAAGCAAAGCAGGGAAATCTCTGTGATTGGATAAAAAGTAAAATGAATAGACATACTTCTTTTACATTTGTGGGTATAGGATAGTTAACCATTAACAATTAACATGATAACAATAACAAGGGGGTTTGTGGTCTCTGCT